CCCCCCCCCCCCCCCCCCCTTTGGCTCTGTTCCTCTACTTGGCCTGGCAGTGCTGTTCCTGCTGCTCTGAGCAGCATGTACTGCACTCCCATACACGCCTGGAAATCATGCGCTTGGGCTGATTTAAAAATAACCTCTTGCATTGAATCTGTTCAAACTGTACTTGGGAGGGAACAGTTACAGCAGTGCTCCCATTGAGATCTACTAGCACCTGTACTACTATTAGACTGAAAATGCTGCCTGGAGCAGTGGTGTCAGTGTGACCACAGGGCTGCTGGCTGGGCCACCCCAGGGATGGTGCCTGGCTTATAGTTGCCCCCCGCCCTCCTTCTCCCACCCCTTGCTGCCAGGGCTTGAGTCAGACCCCGCCACCCCCAGAGCTGGTACAAGCACCTACTCTGGACACTTTTTCCAGAAACATTTAGATATTTATCGTGCTGGGATCCTTTGACCATAGTGGACTCCCTGCCCCTTGGAGCTGCTGCCTTTGATCCTGCTTTGCAGGGTCTCTGTCCCACCTATGCGGGGTTGGCCTTTATTAAAGGTACCCAAGTGGTTTTAGAGTACAAAGCCCTCCAAAGTCCCTGGGATTGTGCCCCAAGATGCATGTGCTGTGCCAGAAGGTGTTGCCAGGGCAGCTCTATGGGCTAAAGAGGGCAGTTTCAGAGCTAGATCAAAAAAAAAGCAGCCCTATAAGATGCAGGTACACGCCTGAAATGGCTTCATTCTGGTACAAGCTGAGCTCCTATAGCAGCAAAGTGTCTCGTGAAGTCTGCACTGCTGGCTGCTCATGCTGACGCTATTGGGCCTTAGTGCGATAATGAAGGGAGGAAAGGGCAAAGGGCCAAGACACTTGTTCTGCTCCCAGCCCTGCCACTTGTTGGGTGCAAGTCGATTGCTGTGTCCTGTACAGTGCTCCTCAGCCATGAAGGGGGGCTTTGCAGTTGAGATGTTCATGTTTTCTCTTTATCGAGTGCTTGGATCTCACATGAGTAAGATTAGAGCTGGACCTGGTGGCTATACTTCTCCCCGGCTGGAGAAGGAGCAGATGGAACTTAAAGTTTCCTTCAAGGATTGCAAACGGCTTGATGTCTAAAACCTTCCTGACCTTTCTTAGCTCCAGCTCCTGCAGAAGATGTTTGCCTGGGCTGGATTCTCAATCCCTGTGGAGACCATTGGGAGCAGAGACCCTCCTGCCCCCTCTCCCAGCAGACCAGTGCGGCATGCAAAGAAGCGTCTCGGGAGGCTGGCCTGCTTCCTGTTCGCCATCGTGCCCTGCAGGCTCCAGAACACCCTCGGCTACCTGCCCCCAGGCAGCTTGGGTCAGAGCGATATTCCCGAGGGTAAGATCTACCTGCAGTCTAGCCAGGGTGTGGGTGGGCCCACACCTTGAATGCAGGCCAGCGTGACCTTGTCCTACCGCAGGCCCCGTGCTGGGCCATGAGCACGAGTTCTGTCGGCTTCTGGACCAGATGCCAATACAGCAAGGAAAGCTAAAACTGAATGGCCAGCAGGGTTTGGGAATGTCTGAGCGTCTTGCATCAAATCCATCAGGACCACCAAGGGGTGGCAAAGCCTTTAGCGGGCACCCGTTGTCTTGACCTCCTGTCATTGCATGGGTGCAGCTGGCAGCAGCGCAGTGGCCTACAAGTCATCTGGCAAATCCTTTCTACCCTGGAAGCCATCTGGGTTTTGTCCCTGTCCTTAAGGAGAGGGGATGCATGCAGTGGGACCTCTTGTTGCCATGGGGGTTGCATGGATGTGAACCCTGCCTTCTGTGGTCTTTGCAGAAATCCGAAAAACTCCAGTCAAGCCATGTGGCAAAGGAAGCAAGAGAAAACAAGATGATGTGGCTCTAGAAGACCAGCAGTCCTGGGTGGAGGTGTTACACGAAGAGCTGCCGGAGGGGGATGACCCCAACGATGCTACCTACGAGGTAAGCGCTAACTGCTTTGCAGAAAGTCCTGTATACCAGGTTAGCCAGAGCCATGGTGCAATCCCAGTGCAGAGGCAACATGGCTCTGCTTGGTCATGAAGCTCTTGGATGTGTCTTAAACATGGAGACCTCCTCCTTCACCTTCCCCCAAAAATGGTCTGCTGCCACCGAGGTCCTTGCGAGGTCCCTTGCAGCTCCTAATGAGTCAACAGATGGACTCGGTATGTCAGCCTGCTCCATCCATCCGGGGATGGCAAATGCCTTCTCTGCAGCCTCATGTGGTAACGTGGTTCTCCTTGTGCCACAAATGAGAAGCGGGGTGACCCCTTCAAAGCTGGGATCCTACCAGGAAGCATGGCCTCTTGCTGCCTTTATGGCACATCTGTAAAATGCTGCACTTGGCAATGGATATGGAGCTGCTGGGCACCTCCCGGATGTGATGAACCCATGGTCTTTCAGCGGCAGCACTGGGGTGGAATGGGCCACCAGTAAAGGAGAACTTCTGGACTGGGAGTGCCTTGGAGCAGGGATTTTTCTTGCGGGGGATGTAAAAGGTACCTAGAAGACAGCAAGTGTTATTGGAAACACCCTCTGCAGAAGCCCATAGACCTCCTGCTAAGCCAGTTTAATGAGCAGACCTTTGAAAAGGAACTAATTCCTTGTGCCCTCAAGCCTTTCACCAAGGTGGGGACTTTTGGATGGCATAAAAAGCAACAGAGCACCCTAGTCGCACAAAGCCAAAGGGCCCTGGGTGTCCAGCTGCCTCTGTGCCTTTGGAAGCCTCCCCTGGCCCCTTGAAGGAGCCTGTCCCCTTTTGCTTCCCACTGTAGCTGGGACCACAGCTTGTCTTCTCACCAGAGCTGGCCTCCTTCCCTTTTTCCAGCCAAGCAAATCTGAGACTGACAGTGAGGAGTACAGGTCCCAGAACGAAACGGAGACGGACCTGGAGTTCGAGGAGCAGGATGGGGTCGTCATGCTGAAGGAATCGCCCAATCCGCAGGTAGTGGCGCCCGCACAACCGTGCGGGGCACGTACAGTTGGGCCACATCGTTGCTCCCTGGCTAGTTTGTCACATGCTGCCAGGTTAATGAGTGATGGTTTGGCACAGTTGTAGCTTGGCTATTGCCTGTGTGGCTGTGGGAGCATGTGAAGCCAAGCATGGACCCTGGCTTAGTTGGGGCTGGTCCCTAATGTCATTACCTGCTGGTCTACATGAACACAGCAAGAGGCTCCTGGGCCCTGGGTGGCTGCAACAGCTTGGGTCTCTGCAGTGAGTGGGCTGTCTTTCTAACCTCCGACTGACACTTTCTGGGGTGGGACTAAACCCACCATAAAAGCACTACCCGGTGTGGATACCACTGCCTGCTTCTCCGGGCAAGCTCCGCACCAAACTGAAGCCTGAGCGTGTGTCCTTGACTCTGCAGGTGAATCAGAAAGGCGAGACCGTGCAGGCCGCAGCAACCAGTGGGGATGTCCCAGAGAAGTCAGCTATGCCAACCTGTGGGGAGGAGGCCTCTGAGAAGCAGGCTGCTGCTAATGGTGGTGATGAGGTTGCCCAGGAGCAGCAGGCTGCAGCAAGCAGCAGTGGCAGCTGTGCTCAGGAGCAGTGGGCTCATGCAAGTGGTTACAGTGACAGTCAAGAGCAGTGGGTTGAACTGAGCGGTAAGGATGACTTCCCCCTAAAATGAATCTGCTCTGCTCCCTGGGGCAAGAGATGCAACGGGCAGTCTGCCTGCAAGGGGTGCAGCCACTGGCGTGTCCTCTAGGAAGCGGGTGTTCCAGTACCCCGAGGCCTCTGACGCATCCTTCTCCCTTCCCCTGGCTGCCTGTCAGTGCAAGTGTGTGCTTTCAGGCTGAGCTTTTTGGGTCCTAAATTCCCACCAGTGAAAACTGCTCTTCTGGTCACTCAAGCCACTGCATTGCTAGAGTGAGGCCAGGAAGCTGGCCGCAGTGCCCCGTGGCAGCAGGTTTATTCTACCAGAAAGAAACCAAGAGCCTGGCTCTTGGTTGCTCTGCATGGTTGCATGCATGGGCGATGACAGGGCAGGCAGGCTCCAAGCTGCTAGTGACCAGAGGGGTGGTGTGAACCCACGTGGGTAGTGGGTGGGAAGAGTAATTGGAGCAAAGCTGTGGTGAGGCAAGCTGGAATTGCTTAATCCTAGCCTGTGGCTGAGTGGCTCTGACCTTGATGAGTTCCCTTCGCCTGCTCGCTGGGTTCATACTGGTCCTTAGCCATTTGACCTCCATCCCAGTAGAGGCAAAACACATGGCCAGAAGGCCTTGAAGGGACAACAGGAAAACTGTAGCCCACCCTCTTCTTGCAGAGGACTCAGACCTTCCAGTTCTCCTCCCCAGACCACTAAAGCTGCTTTTCCCAGCAGATGGGCCTCGCCCTCCCCCTCCCCAGGGTTGCCTGTAGACTTCACTTGCAAGTAGAAGAGGGAATCCATGATACTAGATGCATCCTATCAGTCCGTATAACTGCCACCTGCAGACTTTGACTCCCAAAAAAAATACTAGACCATGGGTGTCCTGCAAACGTGGGGGAGCCCCTGGGTATCAGACAGCTTCCCCCAGGGGCCTCCCTTTTCTGCCTACTAAAGCCATTAAGACCCAAGTGCTTTCTCTTCAGGAAAGCAATGGCTTTATAGGTGCCTTTCCTAATGTGAAAGGACCCCAAGCTGCAGAACAGAAGTGGAGGTTTCCATGGGCTTTAGGTACGCTGCCCCTGCACTGCAGTTTGGAAACGCGTGAAGTAAAGGATTGTCAGATCTCAGGCACCCGCTTGCTGCTGCCTGCACCTGCCTGTGTTGGCTCCAAATGGCCAGACCTACAGCATTGCTGGCTTATCTGATTTAAGTGCCCTCTAGTCCCCAGACATGGATCTGTGTCCTGCTGGTAACTTGTATGGGATCCAGTGACTTCCCTAAATGCTCCCTCCTCTCAATAGACCTGCTCCAAAAGCTGCAACCTATTACTAGGAACTAAACAGCCAAACTTCCTGAGCAATTGCGACAAAAATCCTTTGTTGCACCCTGCAGTATAGCTCTTGGCACTGATTGCAGCCAGCAGGTGCACTGGAATAACTATTCTCCCCTCTTCTGTAGGATAAATGGGATGGTTGCTCCTGGCCTACACTGCTGTCCCCTGCTGTGGCTGTGATGCCAAATGCTCCTCTAGCTAATTCTGCCGCTCGGTCCTGAATGAACCTTCTGACAAACTCCACGTCCGTATTTTGAAATTGTTATAATAAAATATTTTTCATGTGAATCCTGAAGTCCTTGATTCCTGCCTACCCCAATGCTGGCATCTCGGTCATGCAGCAGGTGGTATGATGGAGTTGCGGCCAAGTCCTCGGGGCATGCGGCTGGGCCTGCTGCAGCTTATGCCAGGGTCTCTAGATGATAAATCCGCTTCTGTTTTACTCCCTCGTATCGCCTTGCTGTAGGAGCTGAGCACTTCAGTGTTTGAAAAGAGCGTAGCGAGCTCTTTTCCGAGTCCCAGCGGAATAACCTACTTCCTCCCTTTTCAAGCCCTGGAAACTGTGGCCAGTGGATGGG